TTGTTTGCCTTTTGTAAAACACACACACAAACTCAAGAAGAGACAAATAAGGAAGAAAAAAATAGAGAAAAAGTGAGGAAAGACAAATTCAGATGATCGTGAAAGTTCACTTTCTCCTATTTGGGAGCTCAGCAAGATGATACTTACAGCTGAGTTAGGATAGGGATCTTTATAATAAGGGCACTCCCTAAATAAGGAACAGTTACCCAGAACTATCACACAGTCAACTGAGTAGAGGTTGTCTTTCGTATCCTAAAATATGTAGAACTGTATAGTAGAGGGTCCCTGTCCTGTAGGCCTGTTCATGATGTACCCAGGCAAGCTACTTCCGAGTTAAGCAGAACTCTTAATGAAATAAAAAAAGCTGTTTCTTTGGTAATGTTATCAACAGACTGATTAACTTGAATCTAATCATGAGAAAAGATTAAAAAAAACCCCAAATAGGGAGACATTACATAAAGTAACTGGTCTTTACTCTTAAGAAAATAAATGATATGAAACAGAAAGATTCCAGAACTGTTCAGACTAAAAGAATAAAGAGATATGGCAGTTAAAGGTAATGCATGATAAGAGAGTTCCTTTTACTGTAAATAATATTAATGGGGTAATGGGTAGAACCTGAATAAAATCTGTATATTGTGAATAGCATTTTGTCAATGTTAGTTTCCTGATTTTAGATCACTGTAAAGTGGTTATATGAGAGAATATTTTTGGTTTGTATAGATGTATACAGCACTTAGGAAAAAGGACATCATGTTAGCAATTACTCTCCAGTGAGAAAACCAGGGAAGGGTAAAGCAAATGTGATAAAATGATAATATTTGGGAAATATGGGTGTCACCTTACCTAGTTGTGGAGATTTAGAAATTCCCCATACTATTTTCTTTTTTTAACTTTTCTGTAAGTCTAAATATTGGTTAAAATAAAAAATAAAAACACTAACAAAAAATGTTGAAAATGAGAAAAATGACCTAAGGCAGTCTGATCCCAAAGATATTACAATTTAGGTCCCTAATGATATAAATACTGAAATAATATAATAGCTATTTTTAGAAAAATGAACTGTGGCTGGATGTGGTAGTGCATGCCTGTAATCCCAGCACTTGGGAAATGGAGGCAGGAGAATTGCTGTGAGTTTGAGGCCAACCTGAACTACATAGTGAGACTCTGTCCAAAAAAAAAAAAAAAGAATCATGAAATAATTTTAATGCCTCTATTTGTCTCTAATATAACATAACTATTAAGTCATGTTTCTGTTTCTTGGACAACTTTTAAAAAATATGAGGCAGGGAAAAGACAAAAATGAGGAAAGAAGGAAAAATGGAAACAAAGCTTTTATAAATAAGGAGGGTAAGAAGGGTTGAAGGAAGGGTAGGGGAATTGGGGGAAAAAAGAAGAATTAAGATATATCATGTACAGGTACAAATTCCCTATGATGAATGTGATCATTATGTAGATCTAAAATGTACCAATAAACTTAAAAAATCATTTGTCACCCAATCTAATGTTTTTGAAATATAAAATATCAAAAATTTGGTAAATATATATTAATTATCTGATTTGTTAGCATATTAGTTTCAGATCAGCTGCATTTGCAATTACATATTTTATGTTGTGTTATGTTAAATGCACTAAAATTTTCTTTATGTAAACAAGGAGCATATTTTAACAATGCCTATTTAGAAATCTCTTAAGAAAGGGAGGACAGTGTAGCATAGTGTAATTTGAAAGAAATAATATTCCATAACTGGTCAGGAGATTTTTTTAAATAGCTAGCTAAATAATTTTATAATTTTGGACAAGCCACTCCAACTGAATATTAGATTAGAACACTATAATAGGTAATATTTATTGGGCTCTCACAATAAGTTTACTAATTTGAAGCTAAATAATCCTAAATTCCTTCTAGGAACCTACATTCTAATACTTGGAATATAGCACTCTCATTTTATTATTTTTAATTTAACCTTATTTTTATAGTACATGTGTGCAGTATATAATGATTATATTTATCATGGGGAGTTTGTACATCTACATAACACATCTTAATTTTTTTGTCCCCTTCCCCTCCCATTCCACTATACTCCCTCCAACTCTTGTTCCCCTTCCCATTTGAAAAATTTCTATTTCAATTTTTTCTTCAATTCTCTCTTTTTAAATCTGCTTTCCCTTCCTTCCCTTCCCCCTCTCTCCATTTCTCTTTCTCTTGTAAAAGATCTCTCATTTTAAATGATTATAGAAATGTGATATCTTTTCTTGGTAATTCTTGGCCATAGCTATCATTTATTGATGCTACTACTTGGCTAGGAACTCTACTATCTCCTTGTGACATAGATAAGCAATAGAGAAGATACCCTAAACAACTCAACGTAGACATTCATAGTCTCCACTCTGAGAGCCCAGCCACAGACTTTAGAAATCTACACCTTCCTCTTTTTTAAAACCTACTTCCAGACTGACTTCCCAAACTGATCACCCAACTTTCAGCAGCAATCCTCTTCTCCTCTGCCCCAGCAGCCACATGGAAGCCTGCTCTATACAGCTGCCTGGTTTCTGTGGGTTACTTTGCTCCAGCATTCTGTACCTGCAGTAGCAGCTGATCCTGAGAGCTACTTGAGGACAGTTGCCCAGCTCATAGGCCCAGAATGATTTTCACAAAGTGGATGCTCACTGTGTATATGTGGGCTGACTAAGAACACAAACAAAACCACTGAAACTGAATCAACACAGAAGTTCCTAGAACGGAAGTTGAGAAAAAGAGAGTTGTTGTAACCTCACAAAAGCTCCACCCTTCCTTTCTGATATAAGGGAAAATTTGTGTTAAAGAGAAAGAAATCTGCCTCATTCAAAGCCACCTCCCATCATTACTGTCATGTGGACTTCTGCCCAGGGATAGACCAAGACCTGTCTTCTCCATAATTTTGCCATCCACTTTCAAGTGCCAAGTAAGAGAAAGGGATTTCCACTTCCCATGATCCTGTGACTTGTTATACTGCAGTTTCTCTTGCTTAATTTCATTTCCAACATGACTAGGGGTTCATACTTCTTTAACTTTGCAGACATAGCACTCTGTCTTGAAAGTCATTACCCAAAGTCTCAACTCGTAATCTTTTGAAAGGGAACTCACTCTTCCAGGGAGTCTTTGACACACTTCTAAACTCCTCCATCTTGTACATATTCTCCTGCCCTTATAGAAAAGAGCATACTGGGTTATATTTGTGTACTGCTATGACTGTTCTCCATGGGAGATACTTGGATATTGATAACCACCACACCAGCTATCTCTGTGTCTCCAGAACTGAGAAGAATATCTGACCACTGGTATGTTGAAGGATAGGAAAGGATGAGGAAGAAGGGCCTCTGGCCAGTCAGGCATTAATTAGAGGGCATAAGAAACTAAAGACCAATGGAGTTTTTCCTTTCTATTTTGTGCCTCTTCTTGATGGGCAAAAGTGAGGCCATTTAAGTAGTGGTAACAATAGCTATGAAGGGATGGTCTTTGAATAATTTTTCTGTGGGCATAAAAGCCCCCAATGCTCTCATTTAAAAGCTAAATATTCTTAACTAACCCACACAGGAAATATCTCCGGAAATCATGTTTCAGTTCAGGCTCTGCTCCCATTCAACCACAGTTTCAAAACAGAACAGATTCTACTTAAGATTGAGAAAGCAAAACATTTTTTATACAGCAGCAAAGGTTCTTCTTTGCCTCAACTTTCTTCCAAAGAACTTACAAGTAAGATATTTCTTATCTCCCATGGGAGTTCTTTAGGGCCAAGACTATTGCTGGGCAAAAATTTCCTTTCTAGGGCTGAGGATTTAGCTCAGTGGTTCTGGCACCATCCTCGCAAACGCAAGGTCCCAAGTTCAATCCCTGGTACCCCCCCCCCAAAAAAATTACTTTCTACCTCAATCCTTCAAACCAGGACTTTCCAAAACACAGTCCTGACCTCCTGGCCTGAGGAGTTACTTGACTGATGATTAATAAGTGAATATATTAAAATTCTGGTCTTTATTTCCAAATTCAAAGCTCGATAGTCCCTGACATGTTTTGAGAATCTGAAGCCCTCTGCCAAATCCCCACCTCTCATTTTTAGGTGGTTGGGCAAGATCACAGAGGACTTTCCTTTATCTATTCTAGGACAAAATCATATAAGATTTTTCATAGATCTTGGAAGTAGAAAGATCTGATATAAATTTTCCTGTAGTGAACACCAATTGCTATGGTGGTCACCGAAAGTCAGTACCAAAGCCTGGCTACCACTTTGTTGAGTCCTTGCAATTTCATTACCTATGGCACATGAATTGGAAATTATTGTTATATCAAGATTTGTGGGTCAATTTTCATATTATATTTATCAATATTCATGTTTTGTATACCAAGGATAAGTTAATTTGGGGGTGCCCTGCAGATCACAATATCCTTTCTGCTTTTTGAAAGCCAACACACTAAGTATTCCTAGTAATAATATCTAGCCTTCACTTCTTACAGTACATTTACGTAGCATCTCCTGTGTTATGATTTTTAGCCATCCTTCCATATAGTGGCTCTTTACTTTTGAAAATTTCTCAAAAGGAAACATCTACATCTCCCAGCTGCCTTTCTAAATGGCTCTGAGTATGAGTTTTCTTCCCACTTTAAAAATCACAAGTCCAGTTCTGTAAAGACAAAAGCACATAGGAAATCTCCCCAACTTCATCTCACACAGAAACTCTAAGCACTAGAAATTACCATACACAGTTAGCAATTCACATTCTGTAGTAATTTAAGCATATAAGAGATATCAGATAATGGGAAACTGGTTAAGTCTGACTTGATTGCCTCTTGGGATGTTGCTAAGATATTGCTGATCTTTTTTACTTGCAGCCCTAAATAGTTGTGAAATGAGATTATAATGTCACTAGAGAGGTATATGGAAACTCCTAAGAAGATGCCTTAGCCTACATAGAGTCGTTCAGAGCTTTACACTCAAACAAGGTTAAAAAATCATCAATCTTACCTTTTACAGGCACCTTGTCTCAGTCCTTCAGGCAGGATTTGGTTATTATCTATGAAGTGGCTACCACAAGACTGGTAACACAGATGTCCAGGCTATTTGTGTAAAAGGAGAAGTAAAGGGAAAAAAAAAATGTGATTTTACTGTGACGACAGGAAGCCAAATGAGAAGATGGAGGAAGTGAGGCTGAGACTACCTTCTTAGCCTCAGAGATTCAACCCATCCCCCCAGCTTTTTAGAAGCTGCCTCAATAGACCACCCTAAGCCAGTTTCTGTGAAACAAAGAAGACTTGAAGACCAAATTGGTTCAGGTACTAATCTGAGACCCCTGGTGGGTTGTGGAGTAATTTGCATGATGACTTTTGTCTAGAGAACAGTGATTCTCAATCAAGGTGGCATCTCAGAATTACCTGTGGATCTGTTCAAGAATAGGTATTCTTGGCCTCACCATGAAAATTTCCCATTCCGGTAGACTGAGACTGAAGTAAAATACTGAATCAATATTTATATGTTTTCTAGGACAGAGGCTTAGAAATATCCTTTTAATATCCTGCTCTCTCCCCACACTTTCCAGTGGACTTCTTGCAATCTCTAAGACTCACTTTGATTGAACATCACTTTCAGATTTCTCTGTCTCAAAAGCAAGCTTGTCCTTATGTGAGGGTATTGTCAGGGATGGTCCCCAAGACACGATTCAAGGTGCACCAGTAGAAATCATTTGGTTAGCAGAGGGATCACTAGATTGAGAGCACAAACATTTGGGTTTCACTCCTAGCTTTATCTCTGCTAGCTGTGAGATATTCAGCAAATCTCAACCTCTCAGCCTCAGTTTATTAATAGTAACATCCAGTAATAATCCCACTAGTTACTGTTATATCTCCACTTGTGGATGACAAAACAGAGGCTCAAAGAGATTAGACAATTTACCCAAGATTGTACAACTAAGAACTGGCAAAGCTAGACCAAAAATCAAAATTACAGAGAATGTTATTTGGGAAACACTATGACAGTGAGATTTTGACAAACGTGTCTCTCATTTCAACTCTACTATCAGAATTGCATCTACTAGAATTTTTTTTAGATTGAAAAGGTCTAGGGATTTGGCAATAACTCAAATATATTACTAGCCAGTTGTGAAATTCAGAAGCAATCACTGAGCATCAATTTCTTTATTTGGTAAAGGAGCGAGTGGATGACACTCTCTCCAATGCTTGACTTGGAAACATCCATCTGAGACAGTTGATTCTCTTCCTCTTCCTTCACCTTGTGACATTCAGATTCTGAAGTAACCTATAATGAGGGCTGCCTGGGGGAAACTGGGTTAAACCAAGATGAAAAGTGTGGCTATTTTGTTTTGTTTTGTTTGAGGTGCTGGGGATCAAACTCAGGGCCTCATACATGCTAGCAAACACTCTACCACTGAGATACTCCAGTCCCGAAAGGTTCATTTCTGCAGACTTTATATTCACTAAGCAAAGAATATACTACTCATATTTTCCCAGACTTATTTGACCATGAAGCAGTGTGTATGTGTGTCTGTGTGTATGGTTTCCCTCAGGGAACATTTTTTCAGCATAACAGCTCATTAGGAAATGTTACTATAAACTCTCCTCTCCAGGGCTGGAATTACTGCCCCTCACTCAAAGCTGCTGCCAACTGATAGATGAACTGAAGAGAGGCTTCTTGTTGGACCCATATTTTCTCAATTATCTTACCCAATTTGTGGCTTCAGTGACTGTCTCTCTGTTCCAAAGATTCACAAATCTGCTGTATACATACAATCCAAACTTTCACTCAAGTTCCACATACATATGTATACTCACATGTCTCTTGGGCACTTGAAATTCAGTATCTAAATTCAGTTCAGTAAAGTTGGCCTCCACACTCAGACCTACTTTTCTCTGGCCTGCACCATCTCAGAAAAGGGCTCTCTAGCCTCCCAGCGGGCCAAATCAGAAACCACGTGTCCTTTTAGGCTACTATCATTTGTTATGATTTGTAAATCATACTAATATTACCTAAATAGTTCTCAAATCAGTTACCTTTCTCCAATTCCACAGATAATAAACTAGCTCTTATCTTTCACCTGGGTTATAGGATCCCAGCCTCCTTCAAAACCAGCTTAGAAAGTTCTTCACTCTAGAGAGGAAGAGAGCCTTTTAAAACAGAAATTTAATGTTGTTACTCCCCAGTTTAAAATTTTCAATTGGTCACTTACCCACCCCTAAGTTCCAGTACAATCAATGATAACACTACAGCATTTCTTTGAGCTGCTGTAAAAAATCAATCTTCTTTTTCTCTTTCTTTCCCCCCCTTCTTCTCTCCTCTGTCCTTCCCTCTGCCTTCTCTCATCCTTCTCTCCCTCTGTCTCTCTCCTTCTCTTTTTTTCTCTGTCTGGAATATGTTCTCACCTTTTGAATAATTCCTACTCATCCTGAGCATCTCTGTTCTCCAGACAGCCCTCTAAACAGCACCAGGTAATCCTGCTACATGCTCAGGTTGCTCTAAGCATCCTCTATCCACTACCAGTAATGAGTTTTCATTTTCTGTTTCTCCACTAGACTCCAATCTCTGTAGGTTCTGTGTTGTTCTGTGGATACTGAATAATCTTGCTCATCACTATACTTTTAGAGCCTAGTGTTTTTGCTGGGTAACAGAAGTCACTCTGTAAATATTTGAATAACCTCAGATAACATGAGAAGAGAGTTAGAGGAAGGAAAAAACAAGTAGTGTGAATATGAACGAAGGAAGAAGTGGGTTTTTTATAACTTAAGAATGTCAAGAAGAATATCTCAAAGCAAGAGTTGAGCATAATAAAACTGGACGACCATTTTAACAGAGAAAATCTTCCTTTGATGTGTTTTCTTCATCATCCAATGAAAAGGACTGATCCAAGTGCATGACAACCAGAGGTGGCAGGGCCTGGGAGTTGAGGTGGGATAGAAAACAATATATGCATGTATTTCCAAATTTCTGAACATCAATATTTACAATCCATTTGGAGGAACAAAAGAAAAATAAACGGAGAGTAAGATATTGTCATGTATTCCATGTGGTTGAAGAATCTAGAAGGATGCTCGAAAACTTTTTTTAAAAATTAAGAAAAGGGATTTAGCAGAAGTTATGATGCATGATATATTGATCAACTATTATGGGTGATATTGGGACCTGAGACTTTAGGAGACTTGAACTTGGCCAAATGCAAAGTGGGATTACAAATTACTGATGCTTTATTATTATGCAATAGTACCTGCCATGGTACATCCTGAATGCACAAAATCTTGAATGGGCATATTAAGTTCATTAGTGTCCCATTTAGGTCTTTCTTCCTCCTACCATTTCTAGGTAAGTGAGTTTAACTGCTTTTCTTATTAGAAAATAGTTGCCATAGAAATAAGGAGAATACAGAAAGAACTCTCAAGTTTATTCTAGCAAGTCACTAGTAAGCAAGAATATTAGAATTTAGAGGGCCTAGATGCTTATGAGAATTACAAGATTGGAAGCTTTAAATCTGAGAATAAATTTAATTTGTTGCACATTGGGCATTGTCTGTAGATCTTAGGTCAAAGTTTTGAAGAGAATAGAATATTATTTTTAAAAAGAAATATATTAAAATAGACATACAATTTTATTCTATTGTAATTACATCATATACAACATTGGTGTTTAAAGATTCTGACATTTGGTTTCATATTACCTGAAAAAGTCTGAAGTTTCAACAAAAAACATTCATATTAAAAATGAATTAAAATCTAGGCTTCAGAAATTAGGTATATATTGTCAAGAACCCATATCATTCCAGGGCCTGAATCAAGTATCCATAGTACATCACAGATATTACATTTAAAAAAATGTACCAGCATACAGTGTGGCAGCATATGGCAAGGACAGTAGTGCCCATAGAAGACTACCATGAATACAAGCTTTCATCTGCATTACATTGGATTAAGCCACAAGGGCAAAGAAGTATCTGGTAGGTTATTGCAGGTATAATAATAAAAAAATCTATCTAGAAGAGAAACACTGAATTGTGGAATCTTAGAGCTAGGACTATATATGATATAATGAAACTGGTAGAAGGCTGGAAACAAAAAGATATTCATAAAAATGCTTTGAAAAAATTCTTTCGGAATCTTTGAGCCTTGGTTTCTTCATCTGTGCTATTGGGATAATTTCTACTTCATAGCCAAGTGAGGACCAAATGAGGAACTGTGTAGACGTTTGCAAATGTCAGAGTAAAATACATTAGTTATTATTCTCAGTATATTCCTTGGAAAACACCTAACCAATCTTCCTGATTTTTAGATTTGAACCCTGGGAACTGAGGTGGTTAAGAGACTGGTCCCTGACCTCAGTTACTTAGTAGGAATAAGCAGATAATCACAGTCCTCTACTCACTCAAAGCTTTGGGGACAGGCAGACTCCAGGAGGATACACAAGAAGTGGTATTTTTGTGCTGCAGACTCTATTTCAGCATGAAATTTGCAGCTTTTTCTTACTAAAGTCTTGTCTTCTTTGAGCTCAAGTGAGATAGAAGAAACCACCAAGACCTGATGAGTGTATCTCAGGCTAGATGGGCTTTTGTACTCTCTTCTCTAAACTCAGAGAGAGCAGAGTGGTAGGTTTATTTAAAAAATAACAAACAAAAACACCAGCCACTCTCTGAAATGACAGCAGTAGCTATGATACCTTTCTCATGCCCCCCCGAATCCAGCCTTGACTGAACATCTACACCTCCCTCCTTTGATAGCCAAAAGACTGAACAGCTCCTGGGAAAGATTCAGGAACTCAGACATCATCATGAACCATTCTCTTTTCTGAGTAAAAGGAAGTTGACTGTGGATCAGAGACTTCTTTTGCAGGCCATCTTACACCTGAGACTGAAAGACTAGAGGTATCAGAGTGTGACAAATGTTAACTGGAGATAGCCAATGCTTCACAAGGATTGGCACCGATAGATTAGGCAAAGTCATTAGTAAGTGTTGCTTTGAGACTAAACTTGTATAAGTCACAGACATTGAGGAGGGTTAAAAATTCAGTACTGATCGCCTAACTGGCTATTGTGAACAGTGCTGCAATAAATATGGGAGTGCAGGCATCCCTTTGATATATTAATTTTCTTTGGAAATATACCCAGAATTGGGATAGGTGGAGCATATGGTAGTTCTATTTTTGTTTTTTTTTTTTTTGAAGAGCCTCTCCACTATTTTCTATAATGGTTGTGCTAATTTACATTCCCACCAGCAGGATATAAGA